AATCTCCTAAAACATACAAAACCAAGCGATTGTGGATGTGTTCTAAAACCGGCTTCAGACCTATACTCGAGGATTTAGGGTTCATTTCGGTTTAATAATAAAGAGAAAAAGATATGGAGAAAGAGGTAAGACAATCCAAAGAGTGGTGGCCGTCAATTGATTAAAATGGGAAAAAAAAAAAAAAGGAGATAGATAGCGTCGACTAGCTATGGAAAGCATCGATTATACGTTATTACAAGGAGGAATCGAATTCACTAAAATAGAAAACGATGAACAACTACCTTTTACTATATAAGAAACAAAACCATACTTAAAAGAAAGTACCACCATTTGCCATGTGTCATTTCCACATCATAGTTTTAAAATAAATTTTTATTTACACATCACTTTCCTAGACTTAAAAGGCAAATGTAGTCCAAATCCATCTCCACCTCCTATTTTCGCCAAAAAAAAAAAAAACCACGGCTTCATAAAAAACCCAAATCCTCATTCTCATCTCCACGACAATTGACTCCCTAATCAAGTCATTCTCCACAATAAAAAAAAAAAAATAAATTCCTCATCAACCATCAATTAAGAATATGTGGTGAAATATACTCATTTTCTATTAGTATGTTCAATCTTTTCATTAGTGATGATAACTACATCCTAATCGGATAAAATTTCGACTTCAAAAAATGTTCACTTTACCTCTCTATATAAACACAAAGGAAAAAAAAAATTTCTCATTGATCTTGCTTCGGCCGTTGTGGTGGTGCCATTAGAGATATTAAAATTTAAATGTTTTTATATCCATAGATCATTTGTTTGACTTTTATTATTTTTTTATTTTTCCTGTTCAAGAATAGTGTTATTACTATTATTTTTATGCGTCCACCCGTTACAGTTACCGTAGCCGTTGCCAGGTAATATGATGTGATTTCTTATATGGTTAGTTAGCCTAGAACTTTTGTATGATTTTAGTTCTGTTTGGATTGAATTGAACAATTAGGTTTTTGTTACAAAGTATAGTTTTTTTAAATTTCTTTTTTATGTTTCATTCAATTAGAATGGTTTTCTTTTTTTAATTATGGAGTCTCAGTTTTTTTTCGTATATGGTCAGTTATGAACATTATTTTTTCTTTGTTTAATTACTTTTGATTTTGTTTCATACTCCCAGTTGACCAATTATTATTATTATTATTTGCAAATGAAGCGCGTTTTTTTTCTCTTTTTTTTTTTGTGTTCGGGCTTTCAAGAATATAATTTTTTGGCTTTAGTTTTTGGACTTTTTTGAGTTACTCATCATATAAATAGTTCAGGTCGCTTCTTCTAACTAATTTATGGGGAAGCCTTTTATGAATTTGAGGTGGAGAGGGAAGAAATGATGTTTCTACGTTATTTGTGGTTTTATACATCATTTTTACCTAGAGGGAAAAAAATAATTTCTCAATTTTTAATGGGATCCTTTACATACTTTTTTTTTATTTGCCATGTTGAGGTGAGTTCTTTTTTGGTATAACTTGAAACCTATGCAAATTTACATTAATTTTTCATTTTCATATTTGTGATCAACCAGTTTCAACAGTTAACCAGTTTCAAAATCATATTTTTGATATTTTACTACCTATAAACCTTTGGAAGAAACAATTCTAACAATTAAACGTATACCCTTCAGAGCAAGCTTACTACAAAAATATTATAAATCTCTAAAACTAAGTATTGATTTGGCACGACAAACGAAGAACATCAATAAATCATCTTACTAATATTTAAACTTATTAGGATGCTTTTATATTTTGTCTAACATTTACTTCAAGACATATACTAGATCAAGTTTATTTATATTTAATACGTAACACTTCTAAAATATTTCTAAAATCTTCAAACATTTATAAAACGTACCGGGCCAAATTCGAACTCTTATTTCATAAATGAACCAATCAAATTGTTTCCTAACATGTAGTAGTATTATTTACCATCCAAAATCCCTTTTTTGCATGAAGAGCCGTAGTGGACTTTTAACTCCAAATTAATCACTTCATGTATGTAGGCCATTCCAAGTACCAATTCCAATTAATAAATCAATCCCCATCTGATAAGCTTTTTAATCCAAACCGAAGTAAGCTTCTTTTACAAACCAATCCCAATAAAAGAGGAAATAGAATTAACTCTAAATATTATCTCTAAATTGTAGAAAGTAAACCAAATCAATCTAGCATTTCTTCGTTGCTTAACAATTCTTCTCCGATTTGAACACCAATAATAAAGAAACTCTGTCTTTTCGGTTGACGGCCAAATCGGCCTGTCAAAGAGACCCAAATTCATTTTGGGGTCTAACAATATATTATCGTGATTTAATTTGATGTAATTATCTCACAATAACGATTGAATCGATACACAACTTTCTCATTATTATTATTATTTTTTTTTAGGTAATACGAGGGAAAAAGTGTTATTGCTACGAAATTACAACGTTAACTTTCTCATTATTTCTGATTTCTAACAAAGTTTTCAGTTGGGGACCAGAAAAGACCACTTACATTTTTCTTTGATTAACATGACACGTATCATTTTCAAGTTGCATAGAGACTAATTTTAATAACCAGAAATCAAAACTACAATGGTTGGGAGAGAGAGAGAGAGAGAGAGTCATTTTCCTCGTATTATTTCGCGAATAAATGCTTCTGACAGCAGTTACCTCCTCTGCAATAACAAATACAGTGACGTGACACTATCGTACATTCAGCAACTTCAGGGACTACCATCACTCCCAATCTCCCCATGTGAGAGAAGGACATTGTTTGACATGTAATCTGTGTTACACTTCATTTAGACTGTACAATGTTTCTCTCCGTCTGCAGGAAGGTGTCGGATGGTGGGGAATTGCTCTAGAAAATGCTAAATTAATGAAATGCTTGAGTAGTTGAGAATTATTGTTTCGCAGAAATTATTTCAGTATAAGGAAATGTCTCTCTAATGTAAAACAAATTTTCCTCTATAAAAGATTAGAGAGAACATAAACAACAAATAGATAGATTTAATATTTGAGAAACTATTTCAAAGAAAAAAAAATTGATTTTCTCGCAATGAATGATTTAACAAACTTTTAAGTGTTTGAAAATGTTGTATTTGCCCCTTGTCAAAGTTATTTAACTCTCATGCCAAACTTTCTCATAGTGCAGTAACTCTATGTCTCATCGTTCGATTTTGAGTGCAAAAATAACATAGTACTGCATTCAACTCTTCTATGCAATTTGTGATTCAAGACACAAGCCATTAAAGGAGTTAACGTATAACACATTAAAAAGTAATCTTCTAACAAATTGCCAACATTGGATTCCTTCATATTCACAAAGTTTCGTTATTTTATTTCGTTAATCGAACACGATTATGCACAAAAAATGATACTAAGTGGAAATTTTTGGTGAAGTGACATCTTAGGCAGCAGAGTGACGATACCTGGAATTGTACCGCCGGTGTAGGGTGAAACTCCGACTAGGGTTTCCTGCAAAACAGAGCCTCGGGCGTCTCCCGAGGGTAGACACTCCGAAGCTTAAGTTAGAAAATAGGGTCATGTCTGTGTTGATGTGATAGTCAAGATTGTGTACCTTTAGTGTGGAATAAAGGTCCCTATTTATAGACTTGGGAATCCTACTAGGGTTAACAATAATAAACCGTCATATCGGGGCGGTCTTGACCCTAAGGCCAAGTAGTGGGCCGGCCCGTTGACGGTGATGGACCTGGACTCGTCAAGTGCCCCTTTCAAGTGTTAATTATGCAAAATAAATAAGACTTGACACTTAAATAAAACTGACCTGGCCCGGCCCATATGCAACAAATAAGTTTCAGCCCAGTCCAAATGTAGCTGTCCGCGGGTGAGGATCCGATCCGGGAAGGCGACCCGTTTTATTTGAATCCCACCCGAACAGAAATTAAGCCCCACTAACACGCACGTTTCCCAAACGACGGCTGGGCAATTATGAGTGCCTTGGATTTCGGCCACGGTGTCGGGTCGTGGGAAAAAGGGCGCCTTCTATTTGTTTAACTGGGGGAAAAGCTAAGGACTTTGGCCATATATTTCTCTCGTCAAACCCAGAAAGCTCCATACTCTATTCTGGTGCATCAGATTTCTTTGTCACCAAATACCGTCGTTAAACAGAGCTTGAAAACCCCTCCGACAGACTTCAACTAGGGAGCGCTATCTCATACATAAGTCTTCTAACTTCCGGACATTCTCATCATTGTTCATTGGTGTATATATTTTGCTTTATCTGAACCTGGTTAGACTTGCATATACTAGGATAGGTATGGCGTCACAGACAGTTTCCGATTTTGCATCGACCATAGACTCTGTTGAAAAGGCCGATTCTATTGCTGAAAAATATAACTTCCCCATAGATATCGAGCTCCCATAGGCACTGAGAGGGCTAACAATCCACCAGAGGGGAAAATTACTGTGTACGAGAGGTCGATGTTCCTCGGACTACGGTTCCCCCTTCACCCTCTATTTGGTAGGCTAGTGCAGTATTATAAGATCCTGCTTGTTCGATTTACTCGAAACCTAGTCACTGCCATCCTTGGTTTTGTGAGGCTTTGTGAAATAAAGAGGGTAGCGCCTCGATTGTTGGTATGGAGATACTTTTTTAAGGTCTGTGTGCCCTCGACCAAATACAAGGATTGGTATAACATGGAGACAAACGTTTCCTCAAAGGCAAAACGTATAATAGAACTCTTCGACGGTGCCCCATCGTGGAAACCGAATTATTTGTTTGTTTCGGCTCCCGACGATGTTTGTATGGCCTGGGACTATCGGGAAGCTCATGAAATGGGCGATGTGGTAGACGCCTGGTCCAAACATGATAAGGCCAGAATTGAGAGGTATAGGGTGGACATTGATTCCTTGGAATCTGTCGAGAACATCCTGGGCTACACGGAAGTGCAACGCTAAGTCCCGCCAGTTCACGTCGAGAAGAGAAAAGGTACTGACTTGTTATGTGCTTTGTTTTTATTGTTAGGTCATGTCATCAAGCAAAGATACCATTGGGTTGTTTGGTGACGCCAAGATTTTTGAAATTAAAAATTCAGATGATGAGGGATCGTCCAACAAGGTCACCAAGAAGAGGAAGCTGAGAAGGCTGGTGAAGGCGTCCGATGCAGGTGCCAAGGCTAAGAAGAAGAAGACTCCCACCCTCGAGGGGGTAGAGAAGCAGGTCGAGGAGCCAGTCCCGATCGAGGTGGAAAGGGGAGATGATCCCTCGAAGGCTACCTCTCCCATTATTGAAGAGGTGGAGGCTTCAATGCCCGAGAGCCTGGTACCCGAGGCAGGTCCAGCGACGGAGCGGCATCCGGAGTGGTTCAAGCCGATTGAAGCCTCTCTCGAGAAGAAAAATGTCGAGGACACCGACGGATCATCATCATACACTGCTGCCGCTGCCATATATCATTTTGGGGACAACAAGATCGAGTGCCCCATTATCGAGGAGGTCGCGGCAACTTTGACGGAGGAAGAATCGCTGAAAATGGTAATATTTTCCTCTCGAGTTATGTCTTCTCGGAGATCTCGCGCTGCTCCTGTTAACGTTTCATGTTTGTTGCAGCTAACTACAGCTATGGCTAGCATTCTCATGCGTGAGAAGATGTTGAAACGGGACATTGTCAGCCTTCAGACTGAGAGAGGGTTCCTGGAACAAGAGAGGCAGTCGAGTGAAGCCTCGAGAAAGGAGGAGGAGGCTCTGAGACTGGCTAGGGAGCAGGAGCTGGCCGGTGTTCAGGCCATGTACAAGGAGCTTGAGGCCAAGCTGTCTGAGTGCAGGGAGACTCATGTTCCCCGATCCTAGTTACCGGCGTGGATAACGCATTTTTGGTCGAGGATGATGTCCACGGATGGGCTGGCAAGTATTCTGGTGGGCATTAGTAATGAGGTTAAGGCTCTGGGGGGACATGGCGTGGCTGTTGCTGCCCTTGAAAGGATGGAAAGTGGGAAGACCATCAACGCTGGATGGCTTCAGCAATTTATAAGGCCGCATCCCAAGAAGACACTCCACGAAGCCCTCAAGAAAGGAGTGCAGCAACTTTCCGACGGCCAACTTCCTCTATTTAGGCTGCTGTGTGGCACTGTTCCTGAGATGAAATCCTCAACGGAGATCTCATCCTTCAAGTGGGAGGTCCTCACGGTGCTTCCTGATGACGCCGGAGAAGAGGTACGCGTGCCAGAGTTGGCTCCCGACTTCATCGGCGTCGAGGTGGAACGGGAGGAGGACTCTTCGGAGGGACCAGTCGAGGACGATGGACAAAGCAATCCCGAACCAGAGGGAACGTCAGTCCCTCCTTCTGCCGAGGAAACCAATGAAAACCAGCCGACACCGTCGCAGGGCCAGAAGGAAGTATGAGTCTCTCCTTTGTAATAGGATTTTTGTGGCTAAGGTTGTAAACCTTAGAAAATTTGTATGAATCTTTGAACCCTTTTGCCGATCAAGCTGGCTCACTTTTAATATTTGTGTCGCCGATTCCAGGATTCGTACTTTCTTCATCATTTACATCTACTGATTCTCGAGGAAGAGGAGGTTACTCAGTTTCCCTTGTACGCGATGATCTCCTCGATTCTGAGGAAATCCGGGGACGTCCACAATACTAGCAAGGTGAAGTCTCTCGAGAAAGAACTTTCAGATGCTATTAAAGCGCTGAATCTACGGACACATCACCGCTTGGTATAGCGCTTCAAGCAGCAAGAGGAAGAGTGGAAGCGCCGGCTTCACCAGTATGACTTGGACTTCCATGCTTCTTTATCCCTCGAAGCGAACATTTACGAGGAGATGGATAAACTAAAGTCGGAAAACTCTCAATTGAGGAGACGTGAGAAGATTGTTATTTCTCCATGGTTTCTCGAAAAGCTCGACACACTTGCTTTGGTCGAGTCGCAGATAAAGATCCGGACTGAACGTTTTATCGCCGCCATTGACCTCCTGAAGAAAAGAACCAAGGAGGTGGAGTTCTATTCGAAGCAAGCTGCCATTCTGCAGAATATACTGGTGGACAATGAGATTTCCTTGCCCATTCTTGATGACCTTGATCCAGAGGGCGAAGCTCAGGTGCGAGCTGCTGCCGAGGAATATCTTCTTAGAATCAATGATCAAGACTAGGAGATTCTAGATTTAAAGGATAAACTTGGGCACTGTGTCCATAAGCTTAGGTCGATGGGGTGGTCCGGCCTTATTAAGCCTTCTCGTTTTAACCCGAAGGGGAAGGACTTCCGGATTTAGGCAGATGCATTGTATACCTCCTTCTTTTTTTCTTCTTTTTTTTTAACCTGCACTTGGTGCGAGGGAATTGTACTTGGGCTAAGCTGTGTTAGCGCCAGTTATTTATACTCGAGAATGTTTATATAGCGCTTTGTTTAGCCGGCTGTTAATTACGCGGCCTTATCGAGGAATCGGATACGGATTCCTCGGCGTACTGATGCCGCGATCTATGGCGGGTGCGAGGGGAAGTCCTCGGCTTAGGGGTCCGGATGTTGAATACACGGCTCACATCGAGGATGGCCTTATAGAGGGTGTCCATCTCGGTGACTAGTCATAAGATAGTGTCGACACGCGCAAATATATATATATATATATATATATATATATATATGACAAGTAATGAATTCATTGAAAAAAGTATGTAATGACTCTTATTGATAATTACCCGAGGACCCAGGTTAGCATTACACACATATGACTGAAAGCAATTAAACCACTTAGCAGACAAAGTTACATGTAGTGCAAGGAATCTAGACATTGAACCTGCGGAGATTCTGAATGTTCCACCATCGTGGGAGGACAGTTCCCGTGTCGTCAGTCGTCTGCAATCGGTAGCTGCCCGAAGGAGAGGCTTGAATGACTCGATAGGGTCCTTCCCAATTGGCTGTTAGTTTCCCTGGGGCCTCTGTTCGACTGGCATCATTCTTCCTGAGCACCAAGTCCCCAACTACGAAGTCGGTGCTCTTAACTCGCTTGTTGAAATTTCTTCTGAGGATCTCCTTGTACTTAGCTTCTCCGACTTTTACGGCATCCCGCCGTTCCTCGAGCAGGTCGAGGTTAGTCCGGATGTCCTCGTTGTTGATGTCCTCGACAAAGTTAATTGTTCGAGGACTCGGTAGACCAATTTCAACCGGGAGAACGACATCCATTCCGTAGACTAAGCTGTAAGGCGTTTCTTCCATCGAGGAGTGAGCTGTGGTGCGGTAAGCCCATTAAAACGTGAGAGAGTTCTTCGACCCAAGCTCCTTTTGTATTATGCAGTCTTGTCTTTATTCCGTGTAAGATGGCCCTGTTAATTGATTCGGCTTGTCCATTTGCCTGCGGATGGGCGACGGCGGAGAATCGACGCTCGATCTGTATTTCCGCGCACCATGATTTGAAAGGATCGCTCTCGAATTGGGTTCCGTTGTCCGACACAATCACCTTGGGAACCCCAAACCGGCAAACCACGTTCTACCAGAAAAAATTCAACACTTTTCTTCCTGATATCGAGGCCAATGGTTTCGCTTCTACCCACTTGATGAAGTAATCTACGGCTACTATGACCCATCGCAGTCCTTCCGCCCCTTTCAGAAAGGGGCCGATGATGTCAGTCCCCCATTGGTAAAATGGCCAAGGACTTTGTATGGTTACCATCTCATGCTGTGGCTGTCGAGTTATTGGTGAAAACTTTTGGCATCTATCACACTTTTGGACGAAGTGGTAAGCGTCTTTAAAGACTGTGGGCCAGAAGTATCCCGCTCGAAGGACCTTTTTTGCCAAGCTCCTTGCCCCCATGTGGGCTCCGCACGACCCCTCGTGGATTTCCTCGAGGATGTATGCTGCTTGATTTGCTCCGACGCACCGTAACATTGGTAATAAATATCCGTGTTTGTAGAGAATCCCATCCTTTAGAGTGTATTTAACTGCCTTTAATTTCAACGCCCGAGCTTCCTGTTTGTCATCGGGGAGTGTTCCATTCTCGAGGAAGCGGATGAACGGGGTCATCCACGTTTCCCCGTCTTCGGTGATAGCCATGGAAACTTTAGGGTGAATGCTGGGTTCAGAGAGCATCTCAACCCAAACCTTATGACTGAGATTAGCGAAATTGGATGAAGCGAGCTTACTTAATGCGTCGGCCCTCTTGTTGTTGGTCCTGAGGACGTGTGAGATGGAGCATTCTTTGAATTTGTCTTTGATTTCCAAGACCTTCTCGAGGTATGGTCGAAGGTGTTCCTCACGGACTGTGTATTCGCCTTTGATTTGTTTGATCACTACCTGGGAGTCACTAAATACTTGCAAATTTTGAACCCCTAATTTGAGGGCCATATTTAACCTTGTGATCATTGCCTCATATTCAGCGACATTATTGGTGACCGGAAAACCGAACCTCAGAGCATAGGAATATTCTGCATCGTATTCTTTGAGTTCCTCGATCTCTCGAGATGCCACCGGTTTTGCTAGGATGATACTTGCTCCTCCCCCCGTCTTCGCAGGAAGAGCCGTCGACGTACAGGGTCCAGGCTCGAGGATCTGTGGGGGGATGTTCACGCAGTTGCTTCCTCGGTATCGATTCCTGCGTGGTTCCCGGAGCTCTGGGCATTTCTACTAGGAAATCTACGAATGTCTGCCCTTTAACAGCTGTATGGGGCTTGTACTCGATATGATGTTCCCCCAACTCGACTACCCATTTCATCATTCGGCCTGAAGCTTCAGGTTTGAGGAGGACTTGTTGGATGGGTTGCTCGGTTAAGACTTGTATAGGATGAGCCTGAAAGTATGGACGCAACCGTCGGGCAGCGAGCACAAGGCTTAGGATAAGTTTCTCCATGGGGGTATATCGAGATTCTGCCCCTTGTAGGACTTTACTGACAAAGTAGACTGGGAGCTCCTTATTGTCTTTTTTCTGAATTAATACTGCGGATATGGCCGTTTCTCGAGCAGCTAAATAGATATATAGAACTTCCCCTGGTTGCGGCTTTGCTAGCATAGGGAGTTGTTTGAGGTGTTCTTTTAACTCTTGGAAAGCTTTTTGACATTCATCGGTCCATTGGAAACCCCTCCCTTTTCTTAGGGTTTTGAAAAAGGGGAGGCTTCTCTCCGCTACTCGAGACAGAAACCTGTTAAGTGCTGCTAGAGATCCTGTGAGTTTCTGTACGTCCTTGACCGTTTTCGGGGCTTCCATCGAAAGAATTGCTTCGACCTTTGAAGGATCTACGCTTATCCCATCCTTTGATACTTGAAATCCGAGGAACTTCCCAGAACCTACACAGAAAGCGCACTTTTTTGGATTGAGTTTCATGTTGATTTTGCGTAGGATCGTAAAGATCTCCTGCATGTCCTCGACCACTTTGCAATCCGAGTTGCTCTTGATAACCATGTCATCCATGTATATCTCGATGTTCCTCCCTATTTGATTATGGAAGGCCCTGTTAACCAAACGCTGGTAGGTGGCTCCAGTATTTTTCAGCCCAAATGGCATTTTGTCGTAACAGTATACTCCAATCTCCGTGATATAAGCCGTCTTCTCCGCGTCCTCCTCGGCCATATGAATCTGATGGTATCCTTTATACGCGTCGAGGAAGCTGAGAGTCCTGTAGCCAGTAATGCCTTCCACCATTTGGTCGATTACGGGCAAGGGGTAACAGTCTTTTGGGCAGTATTTGTTTAGATCGGTGTAATCTTGGCACATACGCCAGGAATTGTTAGGTTTGCGGACAAGGACTGGGTTGGCCAGCCAGGTTGGCCAAAGCACCTCTTTCAGAATGTTGGCTCGAACTAGCTTGAGGGTTTCCTCGTTAATCACGTCATTGCGATCTCGAGCGAAAATCCTCTTCTTTTGTTTGACCGGTCTGACGTTTGGATCAACATTTAGCTTGTGCTCGATAATGTGTCGAGGAACTCCGGTCATATCTGATGGCGACCATGCGAAGATGTCCCGAAAGGTACGCAACAAGGCAATTATTTCAGTCCGCAACGCTCCCCCAATGGATATCCCTAGTTTGATAGTTTTTTCTGGTTCTTTCTCGTCTAAGATCAATTCTTCCGTCTTACTGCTGAGTGGCGGGTTTTGCTCAATATCCGCGCTCGAGACCTCTTGCTTCTTCTCTTTATCTTCGATCCTCGTCACACCTTGTTGAATTGAGTAGCATCCTGATGTGGTGACGGCTAGCTCCTGCTTTACTGCTTTCTTCCCTATCTTTACTACTGTGAGAAGACATTCTCTAGAGCTGCGTTGGCAGCCTTGGACTATTCCTATCCCATATTCCGTTGGAAACTTCATAACTAAATGATAAGGTGACCATACAGCGCGGGCTTGGCACATCCACGGCCGTCCTAGGATCACATTGAATGGCGAGGGAGCATCGATTATGGCGAAATCCATAGTTAGATTTACCGTTCGAGGATATGTCCCTACCATGATTGGAAGCCTAACGATCCCGCTTGGGATTATCGTGTGCCCGGAGAAGCCCATCAATGGTAAGGTAGCAGGGCGCCAGTCTGGATTTTGTATATTCATTCTCTTGAAACAATCACTGTAGATGATGTCGACTGCGCTGCCATTGTCGACGTACACGCGACTTACCCCCACGTTACCTATGATGGCCTCGATAACCATGGCATCGATGTGGGGGCACACGCCGGAGACGGCGTCACTATCAGTGAAGACGATTGCTTCCGTTCCTTTAAACCGCTTGTGACTTGGCTCTTGTGGTGGAGTTTTTGTTACTTGTCGAACAGAGGCCTTCAATGCCGTGGTTGAGAGGACTTCGAGAGGTGCTCCATAAATTGCTCCAACATTGTGGGTAATCTGCTTAGTGGGATCGAGAGGAGGTATTTGCTGTATTGGTTGCGGTTTGTTATCGAGAGCTGGTTGGGTAGGATATTGTGAGTTATCCCTCGGTTGCCAATTATTTCCTTGGTTGTCTCTACGAGGCCCTCGATTATTGTTTCGCCTGGGGAAGTTGCGAGAAGCGCCGGGTTTCTCTCGAGGACTGCGATTATCTCCTCGACCAGTACCTTGTGTGCTCTGCACATATTGTTGGAATTTACCGGACTTCACTCCTACTTCAATTTCTCGCTTGAGCTCTCGACAATCCTCCGTGTCATGTCCGTGATCCTTGTGGTACTCGCAATACTGATTCGTGGACCTATTCGGGTTATGAGTCAGTGGCTTCAGGGTTGGAAACTCGTCCTTATGGATCTGGAGTATTTCCCCGTCGAGGCTTTATCAATGGAGTCAGTAACCTGTCGAGCCTGGGCAGCGAGGGTTTGTTCTCAGTCTGAGATTTATATCTATCCTTTCCCCCTCGCTCCCCTGCGAGTGAGAAAGACTCCTGGGAATTTTTTAGCGTTTGTTCCCGTTGGATATAACTTTCTACCGTGGCCCACATCTCTTGGGTGTTCTATGGAGGTTTAGTGGTTAACTTTACTCGTAGGGGGGCAGACTTCCCCCAGGGGTTGAGTCCTTGGATGAAGCTATTCCTTACGTTTCTGTCATCGAGATTGTCAATTTGGAGAGATTCACGGGTGAAGCGACGATGTAAATCTGAAAGGCTCTCGTTGTGTTCTTGTCTTATGGAGGATAAGTCAATGGACATTTTTGTGACTTGCTTGCTGAGGAAAAACCTGGTGGCTAGTTTTACTGTGAGATCCTCAAAGCTATCAATACTTCCCTCCGGCAACTGTCCAAACCAACGTTGTGCCTGCCCATCGAGGAATGACGGTAAAGCCTTTGCCATGAAGTCTAGAGATGCGTTACGAATTCTCATAACTTGCACGTATTTATTGAGAAATCGCTGAGGATCAGAGTCCCCTGTGTAACAGGTGAAGTCTTTGGGGAAGTCAAAATCTCTAGGTTTCGGACAGTCTCGAATCCTGGGGATGAAAGGACTCCTGTCAACGATCATTCCTATCATCCTCCGCATCGAGTCTCGAATCGAGGGATCCTGATTGCCCCGATTATCTTGATCCCGGGGAGGAGGGTCTTCTCCTCGGCAATGGCCATGCTGCGATTTTTCCTGCGACCCTTTTGGTCCCAATCGAGAGTAGACATTTTTTTTTGGGGGTTCCCACTCTCTTTTAGACAATTCCTCGACACTAGGTGATTGTCGGCGATCTTGCCTACGAAATTGTCTCTTCTGTTCGTGCTCCAGTGCAAACTGCTGAATCGCCTGATAAACTACCGGGTTTGTCCTTTTGAGTGCTTCCCAGAAAGTATCATCGGGGGTTTAGGAATGTTCAGCGCGGCAAACTTCTCGATAGGAGGTTTCTTTTCGAGTTCTTTCCTCTCCTTCGTTTGGGACCGGGCGTTTGCCTCTTCTGGTCTCGAGGAGATCCAGGGTCCTCCTTGCTTCTTTTTCCTCAATTAACTCTTCCATCTCTTATTTTGTTGGGTCAGGAAAACCTAACAAGCAGCAGCGTTTGTATTCCTCGAGGATATATTTCTTTTTCCTTTGGTTGAGGGAGTTATCATCCTTCAACTTTTTTAGTTCCGCTTCGATCTCGGCCAACCGCTGTTTCTGGTATGGATCGGGATTTTTGCGGTGACGCTTCTGATCGGTTGATTTGACAGGAGTGGTTTCTTTTTTGGTTCGGCGATCGTTCCTTTTTTGTTTCTGCCTCCATTGGAAGTGTGCCAGAGTTTCGCCGTCCTCAGGGCTTGTCTGTCTTCCGGTTGACGCAGCATTGGATTGGAGACTGTCGGCTTCCACCATCTTTCTTTCCACCGATCCTGTTCTGGAGGTGTTGGAAGCGGATTGAAAGGCTTTGAAAAAGCTTAGTGACACAAACCCTAATTTTCGGGTCCCATCGGGCGTTCCACTTGACGATACCTGGAATTGTACCGCCGGTGTAGGGTGAAACTCCGACTAGGGTTTCCTGCAAAACAGAGCCTCGGGCATTTCCCGAGGGTAGACACTCCGAAGCTTAAGTTAGAAAATAGGGTTATGTCTGTGTTGATGTGATAGTCAAGATTGCGTACCTTTAGTGTGGAATAAAGGTCCCTATTTATAGACTTGGGAGGAATCCGGTTCCTACTAGAGTTAACAATAATAAACCGCCATATCGGGGCGGTCTTGACCCTAAGGCCAAGTAGTGGGCCGGCCCGTTGACGGTGATGGACCTGAACTCGTCACAGAGCAGTAAAGAAACTTCGACCGACACGACCCTCAAGAAACTTTACACCTTTTATAAATAAGACCGGCGGGTATTTAGAAGAACTCATTTCTGAAGACAAAGTTGGTTTTAACAGTCAAAATTATTAAAAAGGAAAGATGCCGGCTTCCTGCCATATTGCAGTTTTTATATTCCCTTTCGGCTCACATGCTCCTCCAGTGCTCAATCTCGTGAAGAAAATCGCAGCCTCAGAGCCTGAGAATGTCAAATGTTCCATCTTCAGCACCGCAGAATCAAACAAATTGCACTTTTTTCCAGATGCCAAAGGCGATGAAGAATTCGGCAACATCAAGGCTTATAGCGTGTGGGATGGCGTCCCTAAAGATCATGTCTTTTCAGGGAATCCACAATTGGAACGAATTGGGTTGTTCATAAAAGCAACTCCTGACAATTTTGAGAAGGCTCTCAAAGAGGCAGAGGAGGATACAGGGGTCAAGATCAGCTGCTTATTGGCTGATGCTTTTCTTTGGTTTGCCTCTGATTTAGCAGAGAAAATTGGAGTTCCATGGATACCCTTTTGGATTTCTGGATCTTGCTCTTTATCAGCCCATCTTTACACCGGCGAAATCCGAAAATTGGCCACAACAACTGGTATATATATATAGCTAGCAATGTGCCCTCTTATGAATGAATCTTCTTTAATCGATCTCAGATTGTTTGACACATAAATTTCGTACTAATGAATGATATTTGCAGATAAAACAATCAGAACGATTCCGGGCTTTGAAGGATTAAGCATCAATGACATGCCCAGAGAAATTCAATTGAAAAATGAACAGTCACCATTGGCTCTTCTACTTGACAACGCGGCTCTGAATCTGCCCAGAGCAACTGCTGTTGTGGTCAATTCATTTGAAGAGCTGGATCCAGACATCACATTAGACCTCAAATCCAAGTTTCAGAATCTCTTCAATCTCAGCCCTATTCCTTCAATTCCAACACCCTCAAAGAAAACTTCAAATCTTTCTCGAGTTCATGATACCGAAGGATGCCTTGAGTGGTTGAGAAAGCAAAGTGATGCATCAGTTGTGTATCTTGGCTTTGGCAGTGTTTGCACTCCACCTCCTGATGAAATGGTAGCATTATCTGAGGCATTGGAAACTTGCAAATTTCCATTTCTATGGTCATTGAGGGATCATGCTAGGAACACTCTGCCTGATGGATTTATCGATCGGGCTAGCAGATACGGGAAATTCGTTTCATGGGCACCACAATTGGAAGTTCTTGAAAGTGGGAAAGTTGGAGTATTTGTATCACATGCTGGATGGGGTTCTGTTCTAGAGAGCCTCTCAAATGGTGTCCCAATGATTTGCAGGCCATTTTTCGGGGATCACGGATTGGATAGTGCAATGGTGGAGGTGAAATGGAGGGCTGGATTGAGGGTGAAAGATGGGGTTTTTACTAAGAATGAAACGGTCAATGCTATAAACCTCATATTGTCTGGTGAAAAGGGAAAGGAAATCAGAGAGAATGCTCAATTGCTCAAGGGACTGGCCACTGATGCTGTTAAACCCAATGGAAGTTCGACCCGAAATTTTCAGCACTTGTTGAAGATGGTAACAAAGTCTTAAAATAAGTGGAACCAGAGTGCCAGGGTTTCATAAGTGATAAATCCTTTCAATGAGCATATGCTTTACTTGTTATTTCCTCTGTCTGAAAAAATAGTTGGAATTGAGTTTCTAAGATCTCTATTAGTTTTAGTCCAAATCTCTAAATTCAATAAGATTTAGTTTTTAAAAAGAAAAGAGTGTAATTATTATTTCCTATTTTTTAAACGTTTTCGGGTGCTTGATTTAAATAATTCCCAAAAAAAAAGTGACCAAAAATAGTTCAGGAAAAAGTATGAATACCGGACTTTCAAAATCTGATTTTAGGCTGATATCGAATTTCAGAAATCCGATTTTCATTCACATCCAAAGTTAAAATCGGATTTCATGAATCCGATATTCATACTTTTGGCCACCCCCATATTCCTGAACTATTTTTTGTCACTTCGATTTTTCTTAATTTTTTCTTTTGGTAAAAAAACTCTTTTTCAAACAGCTAATCAAGGATGTGTAGTGTAGTCATATAGTATTGTGTTACATGAGTTTATATCTCATTTATCACTTTCGTATACTTTAAATGAATCTTTTTATATAATATCTATATTTAATCTCATGTTTTACACGAATTGCATTGGACTTAACTTATAACTAGATGCTTCGCCCAGGCAGATGCCCGGGCGCCCCTCTATTTTAATTTTGTGTTAATAAATAAATGAATTCTTGATTTGAAAAAAATAAAATAGCTACACATTTAGTTTTTTCCTTTTCTTAGCCAAAAATAAAAATAAAAATAAAAAATCATCTACCAAAGGAAAAAAATATATTGAAAAGTACAACGATACAGAAATCATACAAAAAAATGTGGAGTAATAAAGAGGATAAGTTTATGGGCAAATTTAAATACTATTTTAATTTGATTGATAAATGATAAATGTTAGGAGTTAAAATTGTGTAGTTGTTTTTGTAAAATAGTTTTTGTTTTTCCGGATAAGAATTTTTTTTCTTTTAAAAACGGATGACACGTGGCAGAATGGTTAATGCAATATGGTGCATTTGGAGCCAAAAATTTTTAATAAGAAGTTGCCACATCAACATCTTGTATTCTGCTTTAACAGGGTAAAAGGGATCTCATCATCGTAATGAGCTCATATATAAAATTTTAATTTTATAACATGTATATTACTCAAGCTAATTTTAAAATGATAATCATAACATTTCAAATATTTAAAACTTTTCTGTTGAATCTATCATATAAACCATTTCAAACAAAATTTAATATGGTGGTAGTGAAATTTTAAGTCTTCTTTATTTTACTTTTGTATTTTTGACTTTGTATTTTTTCTTTTGGAATTGTAAAACAAATTATACATAATCAATTATGGAAGAATATTGTACATAATTAGGGGTTACTTTGTCTTTTGTGTATTGTGGTGGACTTAGTTGTAAATTTTTTGTGCAACAGTTAGGTTGGTTAGGAGTTTATTATTAAAACTGTTGGGCCTTTTTTTTTTTTTGCTGTAATACAGAAACAATTACTTTCAATAAACATACAAAATTCCAAAAATCCTCTCAAAGCTTCATCTACGAATTCTCAGATCCACCATTGTTGATGGTATTAGAGTATGCTTTGATCCTGTTTGGTGCCACTACTGGTGTCGATTCGACAAAATCAACTAAGTTCAATGATGCTAATTACATTTCTTGGGGACATGTAATTAAGAGGTTCTTAGGTACGAAGAACAAATAAGGGTTTATTGTCGAACTTGTGCCAAAACCGGATGAATTAGATCCATCTTATGAAAAGTGGCTGTGAGTCAATAATACTGTAGTTTCTTGGATTTTGAATTCGATTTCTGCTGAGATTGTAGACGATTTTAGCTTGGTTGATATTGCTTATAAACTTTGGGAAAAATCTGATATAGGTATAGAGTAAGTAATGCTCCTCAGATTTATTAATTGTTAAGGGAAGTAGCTACAATTTCACAGGGTAACATGACTCCTGCTGCATATTATTCAAAGTTAAAAACATTTTGGGATGAGCTTAACCATGTGGATCCATCAAATTTGTGTACCTGTAATGGTTGCACTTATAATCTCGTCACTGTAATCAACTCATGTACAAAATTTTTAATTTTATAATATGTATACTACTCAAGCTAATTTTAAAATGATAATTATAAAATTTTGTGTTGAATCTATTATATAAAATCATTCCAAACAAAATTGAATATGTTAGTAGTGGAATTTTGAGTCTTCTTTATTTTACTTTTATATTTATTTTCTTTGTATTTTTCTTTTAGAATAAATTCTTGGTAATTTTTTTGTATGTCTAATATATTCACATAACTGTAACAAGTATTTGTGGAAATAATATTTTACAGCCTTTATTTAATACAAAAAACACGTTGAGGTTAAAAACAAGGATTTCAAATTCATGTGAAACCTTTAAGATAAAAATGTCTATAATAAAATCTATCATTTCAATCAGATTTTTGGATGATCAGAAAGTTCAAAAATCATTTGGAAAAATAGTATTTTCAAAATCTGCACCATGGACTGTGCATTATGATGTTGTTAATGGTATAGAATGTTAACCTTAGTTAGATTATATATTGAAACAAATCACACTTTACAAATAATATTCTTATAGATTATTAATGATAGTATTACAGATTGATTTGCATTTTACAAAATAGATTCTGTATATATATATATATATATATACATATATATATATACATATGTATATTACATTGATTATGTATATGTATAAAATTAAAAATCAATATTGATAATGGTTAAAATTTTGAATGAAGAAAAGTAAGACAATACTTTATTTTTAATATTTTACCATTTTATTTTTGCACTTTAAAGGCTGAGAGTTTTGGTGATGACACATGTCACTCTAATTTTTAAACTATCTCATTGAATAACACATATCGATTAATAATTTTCCTTATAAATACTAGTTTTAACCTTGTACGTTGCACGTACATTAAATCTAGATTTTTAATTTAATAATATATATTTTAAATGAACTAACTCATATTGTCTGGTGGAAAGGGAAAGGAAATCAAGGAGAATGCTCAATTGCTAAATGGATTGGCCTTTGATGCTGTTAAACCCAATTGAAGTTAAGCCCGGAATTTTCAGGATCAATTGTTGAAGATAACAAAGTCTTCATAAGTGGAGTTAGCTTTAGGGAGATGATGAGATCGGAGTGACTTGTGGACATAATGTCTAGAACTACTTTTTCGAAGAATATTATTAAGGTAAGTAGAGATATAGTTGAAGATATGCATAGACTAGTTAAGACGTGCCTTCAGATTGATAATGTATTGTAATTGGTCGTTTTATAAAATGAATGTTTCTTAAAAAAAAAAAAAAAAAGAGAGATCGGAGTGACTGGGCTTATTATATAAGAATAAATTCTTTTAACATGAAATCAATAGTAACTTGTAGTAATATGTTTGTGTTCTGTCAAAGTTACCTTGGGCTCCCATCTCAAAACCAATTGGGTATGAGTGGGTTGACTTATAAACAGTTGACAGATCCTTCATGACACTGATATGAGATTCTTTGTCCCAACACCCTCCCTCAAGCCCAATGGGGTATTTAGCCAATTGGGGTTGCACAACACAACATAATTCACCAGATATACTGCTGGATCATTACACAACTCCGGATATACTATCGGGTCCGTCAACAAGCCCGTACACATGGGTACATATTTCGGATATACTGTCGGATCAGTCCACAAGCCCATCCGTGCGCACGGAAGCGATTGACGCAAGTCCAAGGCACACGGGTCCAAGCCCGCACATGTAGGTTCATAGTTATCACAGGTCCACAGATTGTGGGCTCTGATACTATGTCAAAGTCACCTTGGTCTCCCATCTCAAAACCAATTGGCTATGAGTGGGTTGACCTTTGGCACTTATAAACAGGTGACAGATCCTTCACGACACCGATATGAGATTCTTTATCCCAACATGTTCTGTTCTGCTTTTCAAGCATCTGGACAAGGACATATCATACTCACTATTTTCACATTTCACATATACGCTACTATTTTAGTTTCATATCCATCCCATAATTATTGTTCAGTTTAAATTTTTATTTTTAGTTCAAATTGTACTATAAGTGAATTCTCAAATTAGACGATAATTTTGGGACGAAAGGAATATAAAAAAGTAAAAAAAAAATTCTATGAAAATTTATGAAAAAGTGTCATCATACTTGATGGGAGTACAAGTTTCTTTTATCTGAATATCACACACATTGGATATGCTATTTGCTAAAATGCCCATTTTAATCGCCTGTACATTGTTCACGGATCGGATTGGTCCGAATTACTATTAATTCTTAACCAAACTATGACTTAAGATTTTTAAATTATGAAAGCCGTAATCGGACCGTATTGAAGTTAAAATCAGACCAATCCAAATTGTATTGAACGGTTTGATTTGGACGGTTTGGCGGTTTGGACCTCTAATTGTGACATTATTCATTTTAGGCCATAAATTGAGCGTTTTAGTTATTGGATTTTTTTCTGGCTTTTTTTTTTTCTTGAAAAACAGACTTGAGTTATATATATATAAACGTGAGAGGAGGTTACAATGATAGTGCAGAAGCTAGGCAAGCCTTGGCTATCCTATGTGCGTTCTCCACTAATTCCCTCCCTATCTTGCATATTTTCATGCTTTGCATTGAGGTGGCTAGGATATGGATGTCATCCCCTAGATCTGTTAGGGGTTGTGGTAACCGATTGGACCTGGAAATCGCACCAACCGCAACATTATCTGTTTGGAGTTCCCCCACTTGCAGGTTCATTCTCGTGCTTGTTGAAGTCCTCTTAAGCAAGCTAATGCCTCTGCGTGTAACGCAGAAGAAGCATAAAAGGTCTCCCACCCAGACTTTATGTGAGAACCTATAGGTGACAAGATCTCCCATGCAGCAGCTCCTTTCTGGCTTTCCTTGTTGAAAGCTCCATCTACTCTGATAATGTGACCAGGTTGGTTAACCGTAAGTGACAGTCTTGGCAGCTGGTCCTTGATCGAGGTCTGTCTTAGTTCCTGTTTTAAGTTCTCCCTGGTTGTGATTTTTTGAAAAAATTGTAGCTCACTTGAAGCCCACTTCTGTACTTCAATAGGATCCTGTAGTACTGCTTCCCACATTGCCGGGCCTTTTTCTGGCTCATTTATTGGGCTTTTTATGGTTTTTTTCTTGGCCTTTTTTGGGGCTCTTTTATACCTAGGGTTTTGATTGGAAAGAAAAAAATAGTTAGAAAATAACATGAGTGGTTTGAGATTTGAACAAATTATCTTTGGTTAAAATTGAAAGTAAAACAATAATTACTACGATTACTACTTAGCATTCGTAATATAAGTTGTCATTCGTTGATATATATATAAGTAAAATAATAATATTATTATTTAATATATATATAGTCCAGTCCAGACAAACGGTTTCTCAATGCTAAACCGCAATCCGGACCGCAATACTAAACCGCAATCCGGACCGTTAAAAACGGTTTTCAATTTCAAATCTACCGGTTTAAAAATTCAATTATAAACCGTTCATCAATCTGAATCAATGATCGGTTTGAACGGTTCTACCAATTTAATCCAAACCATGAACATCCCTAGTCCACATTCCTCCAAGCCACGTCAGTAACACTAAAATTATTTTCAGAAATTTGCGAAGGAATTCCGTACAATCCATAGTGTGTGTGCTACAAATTTACAGTGGTTTGGACGTTTGGATCAAGTAATCCTCCCGCTCTTTTCCAAAAGGAGAAAAAAAAATATTAAAAAAAGTTTTCTGTTGCACACCATTTTCACCCTCAGCTCTAAAGATAAAGTTCTGTTTTTTTTTTCCCTAGATTAAATTAATACTCACAATAAATATATTTACGAAATAAGAAGTATTATATTTATAATTTTTTGTTATCATAGAAACGTTTTCTTATCTAAACAATACAAGATGCCCCCCATCGTTCCAATATTCTCCCTTCCTAAAACATTAGAGATGCCTAAAATAATAAAACAAAACCTTCTTTTTTTTTTTTGAATTTATTTTGCAGTGGAAGGAGGAGTACTATTCTATTTCTCCTAGCAAACGTATCTTAAGTTTTGCTGTTTTTCTTGTTGCATGATGAATCACTTCAGCTGATCAACCGTTTCTGATTGCGTCTAAGGAATCGATCGTTAAGTGAAACCTTTGATCGGTGAAGTTAGGGAAAATTACATTTTTATTTCAAGCCCTGATCAGGAAGTAAAGCAATACTCTTTCTGGTGATGACAATTGACACCAGGTTTTTATGGTAATTACTCAAAACGAATTGAGGTACGTATGTTTCGTGTGGTTTTCAGACTTGGAATTCATTATGTATACTTTTTATTCCAAAAAATGACTTCTTTATTTTGTATCATGTATTTTTAGCACAAGTAAATAATAAACAGGACAAACATTTTGGAACAAACTAAATATAAGGTATTTTCTTTTCTTAAATAAATTATTAAAGAGCTACATCCTCATAAGTCTATTTTCCCCCTTTTAGAAAAGAAAAACATCTATTAATGCTGATTAATATTTTTCTCTATCTCCATAAAAAAACACTGTTCAAGGCACTTTAATCTACCGAGTCTTTTTCCTATTGTTCTAACATGAATCGAGCTGACGATGGAGTTCGGCAAGCTGATTCAAGATAGACATATTCTCGGAGTTTTTAGGATTTTTTGGCCTATAAAAACCATGGCCAAGTATGCAAATAAAATCACCCAACAGAAATTAAAAAAAAAAAAGAAAAAAAAGAAAGAAAAAGAAAAGCCTTCAACTCAAGAACTCCAAGTTCAATTTGAATCAAATCCTAGTTTATCACCATATACAAAATGCATAACATTTTGTGCTTATTAACCTTAGTTTATGTTATCATGTTGGGGCTTTGGACCTCTCCAGCTTCGGGTCGAACCCTGGTTGATGTTAATCACAATCAAACCATGTCAGAAAGGCATGAAGCATGGATCTCTCAGCACAGCAAAGTTTATGCCGATGAGAAGGAGAAGGCGAAACGCTTCGCGATCTTCAAAGAAAACGTGGAATGGATCGAGGCTTTTAACGCTAATGGAAGCGAGCACAATGGTTATAAGCTAGCTGTCAATCGGTTTGCGGACTTAACCTCCCATGAATTTCGCGCCATGCGCAACGGTTACAAGAGGCAAGAACCTATGTTGTTGCCTACCTCAAGAGAAATTGCATCTTTTAGGTATACCAATTTCAGTGCAATTCCAGCAAGTATGGATTGGAGAACCAAAGGGGCAGTTACTCCCATCAAGGACCAAGGAGAATGTGGTAAGCAAGCTTATATATATATAGTGCAGATTCATTTTTCTTTAACAATATACATTGATTATGTGCTTGTATATATCCAAATGATATTAAAGTACTTGCACTGCGTCGTTCGACCTGAATAGTTCAATCAAGAGTCAAAACCACGATTAACTTGCACCTTGAATCATTATTAGTGTTACCTGAACCGTTCAATAGATGAGATTATAGAATTTCCAAACAAATCTTGATCGGTATTCTTTATTTAACAGTTTAATTATACATACGCATTTTAACATGGAGCATATACAGTTCCCGAGTTAAGGGGACTAGTAGGGAAGGTGGCCCTGCAATTTTTTTTTTTTTAAGGTACTCCTTTACAATTTTAATGTAAATTTTGTGGATTTAAAGAACTCCTTTACATCTCTTAATATTAATATTAACGTTAACCGAACTATTTAATACACGAGATTATAGAATGTTCCAAAAGATGTTGACCACCATCAGTGATTAAGTTTCCAATAAATAAGAAGTCATCCTTGATTAAAGTGCAATCACGTATACGCACATCTAGTATGGAATCATATAATCAGTGTCGGAACTAGAGCGACCAACTGGGACGATCGCTCCCTTTCTCCTGATTTCTTCTTTCTTTTTCTTTTTTTTTTAATTTGAAAAAGACTCCTATAAAATGTCAATCTAAATTTGTGAATTTTATATATTTTTCCTCTACTGAATACTCCCTACAATCCAAAATAATTATCATCTTACATTTTACACATAATTTAAGAAACTCTTAAATAGGGTGATAAAATTACTTGAATATTCTTAACTAACCCCATTAAAAAAAATGTCCACCAATAACATTAATTCTTTTGAGGGTTATTTTGGAAACTTTAGATTAAAAGTGCATTAAAATGTAAGAACGACACTTATTTTGAAATTTCTCCATTTTAATAAAACGACACTTATTTTGGAACGGAGGGAGCACTTTTTTACACATTTTTCCTCTATTATACGACTCCTGGCTCCGCCAAGACCGCCACTGATCATATGCTTATATTTATACACAGGAAGTTGCTGGGCATTTTCAGCAGTTGCAGCAATGGAAGGCATAACCCAACTCAAAACCGGCAAATTAATCTCACTTTCCGAGCAACAACTCGTCGACTGCGACGTCAAAGGAAACGATCATGGCTGTAACGGCGGGTACATGGATTACGCTTTCCAATTCATTATTCAGAACAAAGGCCTCAACACCGAATCGAATTATCCGTACACCGGTAAAGTCGCACCGTGCAATCCTCAGAAATCCACCGTCGCCGCGGCCAAAATTACGGGTTACCAGAACGTCCCGGCCAACGACGAGAAGGCCCTGTTGCAAGCCGTGACTAACCAGCCTGTTTCGGTTGGCGTCGATGCCTCCCATTTTCAGTTCTATTCTAGCGGCATTTATAACGGCCAGTGTGGGACCGCGATTGATCACGGTGTCACGGCGGTTGGTTTTGGGGTGGAACCAAATGGGGCGAAATATTGGTTGCTGAAGAACTCGTGGGGCCTGGATTGGGGAGAAAAAGGGTATATAAGGTTGAAAAGAGACGTTCCTGCTAAAGAAGGACATTGTGGTGTTGCCATGGCTGCTTCTTATCCTGTCATTGCGTGAAGAAGAACAAAAAAGATTATGCCTTTATAAAAATAAATATGTATGGTATCTGTAATGTGTGACCAATTATGTATAAATGATTGACAAAGGAACATATGTAGCTTGCAAATAATTGCAAGCTAGGTTCACTGTTGTATGGAATTTGGGTACGTATTCCCATTGATTAGATGTAATTGTATAAAATGAAGATATATGAAAGTCAATTACTTATAAAGTGTATTGCAATGTGAAATTATCATATTATACTTGGATCCAACAATACGTGGAGATCAATTATATATAATTGAATATATATTCCATATGATTATCTTTATAATCTAGTTATTGAAAAACCTGAAGAAATTAAAAAGGGACGGAAAGAGTATTAGTATATTCAAATGAGATGTTATTTCCGCTATAAAAATCATCCCTGTTCTCAAGAAATGGATTTCGTTTATAGAATGGGTTGATTCCTGTTAATTTTTTGAACGTTTTTTGTAATGGCCTTAGGACTAAAATCAACTAAAGTTTTATAAGAAGCGTGGGAGTAGATTGACTAGTTTTGAAATGTTAGGATAAAAAAGCAATATTGTGGGATATGATTTTGATTCGCAAAGTTTGGGCTTCATCATTTCATAAATCGAACGTGACTGTATATACGCAAAATTGATGAGATTAAGAGCAGTGAAAATCTTTGATTAAATGAAGTTAGATCGATTGATGGTACGTACATGTTCAAGAATGTTCAAGTATTAACAATTAGGACATGGACTACCGCGAAGAGCTGTACTTCGTTTCGATGAACTCTATTATTATCAATGCTGTACTTATTACTTATAGTAAATTTATGCGTTAGAAACAATCAAAAGGAGAATATAGTAACTCGTTAAATCAAAAGTTGTGAAATGTACAAGAAAAAAGCTAATGAGGAAAGAGAATCTTGATTCTATTATAACAGCTCATAGCTGTAAAAAAATCTGGTATTTAATACAGGGAGGCTAGCCTAATAGCTACTGATCAAGCAAAATCTTTGTCTAATAACTTCCTCATGACAGATTTTACAATTAATAGCCAATTAGACAAGTAATTCTGGCATTTAAAATAAAAGAACAAAACAACAGAAAAGAAACTTGAACTAAACCAGCTATAAAACTACTACTGGATGTGGATGGTTTGAAAGATGAATCAAAGCCATTGTTTCCCCTTTCATTCTGTTCAGTGAAACAATCAATCCTCCGAAAGAAATATGATGCGGGATTCATGCCATATTGCTGTTTTAGTATTTCCCTTCGGGTCACATGCAACTCCTATGCTCAATCTCGTGAAAGGAATCGCAGCCTCAGCGCCTGAAAATGTCAAGTTTTCGTTCTTCAGCACCGCGGAATCCAGCAAATCTATCTTTCCAGGTTCAGCTGCAAAATGCGATGGAGACTTTTCCAACATCAAGGCTTATGACGTTTGGGATGGCGTCCCTGAACACCATGTTTTCTCAGGAAATGCAATTTTTGCAAGAATCGGGATGTTCTTAGATGCAACCCCTGGTAATTTTGACAAGGCGATGAAGGAAGCAGAGGAGGATACAGGGCTCAAACTTAGCTGCTTATTGACTGATGCTTTTCTTTGGTTTTCCGCTGATTTAGCTGAGAAACATGGAGTTCCATGGGTGCCCTTTTGGACTGCTGGATCTTGCTCTTTATCAGCCCATCTTTACACCGACGAAATCCGGAAATTGGGCGCCACAACTGGTAATTAATCTATATGTCGCCAGTGGCCCTCCAACGAATGAATCTTGCATTTGTATTTTCTTGTAATTTGTGTAATCTTAGATCGTTTGACATTCAAACCTTGTGCCAAAAATTGGTGACATTTGCAGAGGAAACAGTTGGAATGATTCCGGGTTTTGAAGGTTTAAGCATCGATGACGTGCCCAGAGAAATTCTGTTGGATAATGAACAATCACCATTGTCACTTCTGCTTCACAATATGGCTCTGAATCTGCCCAGAGCAAATGCAGTTGTGGTCAATTCATTTGAAGAGTTAGATCCAGCCATCACATTAGACCTCAAACCTAAGCTCCAAAATCTCCTCAATGTCAGCCCTATTCCTTTAATAGCAGCAGCAGCCGCCTCAAGAACAGAACCGAAATTTGCAGCTAATCATGATGACGAATGCATTAAGTGGTTGAAAAAGCAGGATGAAACATCAGTTGTGTACATTGGTTTTGGCAGCAGCGTAATTACTCTGCCTCCTCATGAAATGGTAGCATTAGCAGAGGCTTTAGAAACTTGTAAAAGTCCATTTTTGTGGTCATTAAGGGATCGTGCTCGGAAGAGTTTGCCTGCTGGATTCGTTAATCGGACGAGCGGATTCGGGAAATTGGTTTCATGGGCACCACAAATGGAAGTTCTGGCAAGTGGGAAAGTTGGAGTATTTGTGTCACATGGTGGCTGGAATTCGGTTCTAGAGAGCATCTCATTTGGTGTCCCGATGATTTGTAGGCCATTTTTTGGGGATCACGGATTAAATAGTGCAATGGTGGAAAATAAATGGAGGGCTGGATTGAAAGTAAAAGATGGTGTTTTCACTAAAAATGGAACACTCAATGCCTTGGAACTCGTTTTAAATGGTGAAAAGGGAAAGGAACTCAAAGAGAATGTTCAATTGATCAAGGGACTGGCCATTGATGCTGTTAAACCCAACGGAAGTTCAATGAGAAATTTTCAGGAATTGTTGAAGGTGATAACAATGTCTTAAGAAGCGGAAACAATTGTCAGAGAGAAGATGGATTGTGAGGGCTTTTTTTAGTTTTTAGCAATAAATTCTGTCAATTTAAAAAGCTCATTTTTCTCTCCTGTCCTATTTTTCAAGCACCTGGACAAGGAAGGATATCACATGAGTTTAACTGCTCTACATCAGGATGTAAGCTGCTCCAAACATTTAAAATAATTATACGGTTAATTACTTAATTGAGTTGTGTGGTGTTGTTCAATTCTCTGAGGAACTTGTTGAAAGTTGGATTTTTTAAAGAAGCCAAATGCATCTGAGGTTGTTTCTGGAACGAGGGATCGGGTTAATTTGCACGACAAGTTTAAGAAAGCCGTTGAGACGTCTTTCCCAGGACTCTTGGTGTCTTGGCATTGAAGCCTGAAGAGAAAAAGATTCAGCAGAAGTGACTTCCATTTTGGGAATCTGTTACAGATACCAATGCCGGTACTTTCAAATTATCATTTTGATACGCTGAATTACTTTACTTATAAGAGAAATGTTGACTTTGTAGCTGGGAGAATGAGCCTTTTTATCCCAAGGGTTGAGCCACACCATCTATAACATCCCAAAGTTTAAAAGCATGTCATTTTCATCCCAAACTTTTTAAAAATATGTAATGTTAGAACATTTGTTAATTTTTTCAAGTTATTAACAGCGATATTTCACTCAGTTTCTTTTCTCTCATTTTTTTTTAGTCAAAAAAAGTTTCATGCTTGCGTTTGGTAAATTTGGTCCATGCCAAGCAAAAAAATTGCATGCCTCTGCATCAATTACAACACCAATTTTTATAATAATGCTACATATTTAAAAAAATAAATAAAATAGGGTTTACTTTCTAATTAGGACACACACAAAACCTCTCATAATTGTTATCAATCTAGAAGGTGAATCTTAGAATTTTTTTTTTCTTTTTCTAAGCAAGGGAAGAATGGATGATGTGAAGACCAAATTAGGTTTAACTATTTTCTTATAAGGTGAAAGTTAGGGGAACGTGTTAAATGATTAAAAGAATTGGAGGAGAAGAAACAGAATAAAGAACCACCACTAATTAATTAACTAGAGTTAAAAGTTTAACGAATATTCTAATGTAACATGTTTTTAAAAAGTTTGGGATGTAAATGGCATGTTCTTAAATTTTGGGATGTTTTGGATGGTGTGGCCCAAACTTTAGGATGAAAAGACCCATTTTTCCTTTTGTAGCCAGAGAACTAGTTATTTAATTATTAATTTGATCTCTTGGTTTTCTGACATTAGGTTGTTATTTGAATTGCGAATGAGGAGTTGGTTCAATGGTAAAACCGCCTTTACTCTAAAAGGAGGTTATGAGTTCAATCCTCCACTTTAATAAAAAGTGAGTGGTTGGCTCTTACCTTACAGGTTGAAATCTCTAGGGGCTTATTATGTCTAACCCACTAATAAACTTCCGATTTCGCACTCGAGCTTGTCACCCCGAGCTTGCCTAGGATGGTTTACGTCGCACTGGTTTGTAAGTTATTACAGCGGGCGTGGATTTACCCATCTCTGGTGGGATTCTCGGCGTTACCAAAAAAATAAGCTTGTTATTTGAATTAGTCAGTAGGTGCAATCCTCACATTTGTAAAGCGTTGCCGTTCATTAAAAGCCATTTAAAGACCCAAAAAAAGAATAAAATTAAGGAATCATAATCATGTTTCTATTACGGTGTTCTTTTTTGCTCAATATACAATGGAATGAAAAAAAAAAATTTCTCCAATGAACTTAAAATTTTCAAAAGAACTAATACAAAAAAAAAAACAAAATGAACAACATTTCTTTCATGAACATGTTATAAAAACAAATATATATTCACATGCTTTAATTTTAAAATAATGTATCCATGAACTTTAGTTTCTTGAGCTAACAAAACTCAAAATCAAATTATTAAACAAAATTGAAATGTTAGGCATCAAAATTTTATTACATTTAAGTAACTCAACTATTAAAAAAAAACTAGAATTATATTAAAAAGAATGTCATGTCAAAGTCAAAATCATTTGACTAATCTTCACATTCATTTATTTCAGATGTATCTTTATTGGTCTTGACAGTGACAATAACTAGTGGTTCAAACATATGAAAAACAAATCAATGTCACATAACTGTTGCAAAGCTAATTAAATTACTCACTGCAACTACAACCATCATCATTAATTTTTTTTAGATAAAAAAAATGAAATAAATGCTTTCTAACCTGTACTGGTTGCATCTCACGAAGAAGTTTCAGCACCCATGTCCTTTTCAAAGAGTCTAGAAGTGTGAATAAAAAATCAATTTTATTCGTATCAACCGTGATGCTTTCTCCAACTTTAAGTCGATCAAAATCATATAAATCTGATATTTTTTTAATTTTTTTAAAAATTTTTATCCTTCATTCAGCACTATCAGCCTCAAACGGAAAGCACTTGCAAGCTTTGCAATGTTGTCAATTGCAGCGCTAAAAACCAGTCTCAATTGTTTGGTATCGTTAGCAATTTTATACGACAATTGGTCACTTCCTCTAACCCTTTTTATAGTAATAGAACCAATGTTTTGAGTACCACGTGCAGTTTGTGTTAAAATACTTGACAAATCAATTTCTTCACACATATCTTCTCCGCTATTTGAGTCCGGTGATAATTCCTCTACATGATCTGCAACATTTTCATCTCCTGCATCATTAGCATAGTACTTGACAAAAATGATTGAAGCACTTTCATAATATGGAAATGGTTTGTTTCTCAATCCTCTTGCATTTGGATGAGTCTGTAGGAAAAAATCAAATAAATAAATAAATAAATAAATATGTAGAAACAGAATAGGGGTTATCTATTGTATTAAATTAAAAAGTAAGTCAATCAAAAGATTCAAAAATGTTCTTTTCGGCAGTGGTACATTTATCTTGGTTATTCCAACCAAATCCATTTGCATTATGACCCAATATCTCTGTAATTGCTACAGTTTTTTTTTTTAACAGTCTTACCCGAGACTCGATATGAGGCTTAGGTTTAAGTCCACATCCGGACATCTTTTCCTCTAGCATTTTTCTCCAATTAACTGAGATATTCTTCTCTAAAAGTTCCATTATCACATTTCCAGTGGCTATTTCCTACTAAATCAAGCAACACTTCAACTAATTTTCTATCTTGAGTTGTTGTCCACTGGCGCTTATTCAGACCTCTTCCCCTAGCCTGATAAGCAACTTGAGAATCCATATCTATCTTTTAAATGTATGCATGTCAAATTATCAACAAAATAAAATATACTCAATCCAGATTCAATAAGAAAATAACAAAAACAATTTCAATAGGCATTAACTCTAAAAAAAAAACTTAAAAAGTAAAAACTATGAAACAAATTAATCAATTTCAATATAGTATGTAAAACATCCAATAATTATTCAAACATAAAAGAACAGTAAACAACTTAAAGAACAGTGAAAATAAGAATATCCTATTATTTGATATAATATATTTCAACTATTATGACAATCATTCCATTGGTTAAATATCTCTATAGTAAGGTTTGTCCTCCATGCAGTCCATTCATTTGATGGTTCAACCGCATTAATTAGATTACCATCTATTTGAATGTTGTTCACTTGTTCATCCACATTTTCTTCTTATGGAATCTACTGGCATCTCTCTTCTAATATGATTATGTAATAGAACAGATGTAGATATGATTTAACATTGAGTTCTCACGGGATAAAAAGAAAAGCTTCTCAAAATGGCCCAACGTTTCTTAAGTAAGCCAAAACACGTTCCGATAACATTCCTGATAATTTATATTAAAAAACTCTTGATATGTTGTTGGTTAGTTTCCTTGTCTCCACTTTGTTAACGGTAGCGTTACCCTCTAAAAGGTGCTTGAAAACCTTCGCGATTAGCATAACCAGCATCAACAAGATAATAGTAACTTATTGTATCTTTCGAAATCTCACTAAAATTACTACAATCCCATCATCGCATTACATTTGGTATCTGATTCCAAGTCACCTATTTTTTTAATGAATACCGTTATGGGAGAAACATAATGACATTTCGATACATCCATTCCCTTTCTAGCGCACGAAACGCACCCTAGATATGAAGCATACTAAGTCATGGTTAATAAACAACACTGCACTTCCTAGAAAATGAAAATAAATGGAGTTAAGACATTGGACCTCAAGTCTACAATTTCTCTCCTAATTGATATCAGGAATATTAAATAAAACATAAAGAAATAAAGAAAAATAGGAAAAGTGTTATAGAAAAATCTAATTTGATTGAATGTCCACATTAATATGTATTTTCTATATATTCACAATCAAGAAAATATGATTATGTAATATTTAGCATTAATAATAGGCGATTCATTTTCTACAGTTTGATCCTCCACTTCTTGTATAAATAGGGAGGTCATTCATGCTTCAAAAATATATCTGAATACAAGTCTTTTATCTCTCTGTACTCTCTAGTCTCTCTTCTTTGTTCTTATGCTTAGTTTCATATTGGTAGTCTAAAATTAATTTTATAATACGTTATCAGCACGAATTTCTAGCCAAAGAGGTTTATAATACTATTGTCTGAAGTTGATGTATATTAATACTGAAAGCCTGAAATCTTTAGTAAATAATTAATTTTTGTGACTGAAAAATAATTTTTCTGGAGGTTTGCTTCCTTCCACTATGAAAAAATGGGAGGTTCTGTTATTTTCATATTAAACTACTTCCGGTGGAGAACCCTATCACTTTTATGTCTGTGATGGTTTGCCCAGAAAGGAGGTACGCCTATTCTTTTTATTCTTAGCGTTGAAAAGGAATGATCATTGAGGATTTTGATAAACCTTGTGTTATATTCATGTATCGTAGCCTTTATAATTTATTTTAAAGGTTAATGATAAATTTTTCTGTACTATTTACTTTATGATCATAAATGAACAAAAGCATGGTTATTTGGGAAGTAACAATGTTGAACAGGAAAATAGACATCAATTTTGGTTTCGGTGGTTTTGCGACTACTAGGGTTTTTGCCGTAGGTTTATGTTTTCTTTAAAAAAAAAAAAATGGTTCGGCTGTTAGTTTATCAGGCAAGAAAAAAAAATGAAAATTTACCACAAGGTTTTTGTTTTGTTTTGGTCGGTTGATGTGCGTCTGTTTGTGGAGTTCAATTTGCTCAGCTACTTGTTTGATTTATTGATTGATGAGTTAATTTATGATCAAGTTAATTGATTAAAGTTGGCCGAATCAATAAACAAAGTGAGGTGTCTGTTTGGTTGTTTCTCTGCCGCGAAGGAGTTTCTGGTCTTGATTCTTTTTAATTGAGAGCTAACTAATAATAATTTATTTATAAGAGATAGTATACACATTGTGAATGAAAGTAGACAATATGATCATACGCATAACTTAAGCTTTCAAAAAAATAATAAACTTACTATGATTACTAAAATATACTCCCTCTGTCCCAAAATTATTGTTCAATTTGAAATTTTACTCTTAGTACAATTTGAATTAGAAATGAAAACTCAAACTGGACAATAATTATGGGACGGAGGGAGTAATATAATGAGTATGACAATGTCTATGCATTTTCTAATTACTTACAGGTGTGTATTGCACAATGGGTTTTCGATATTATCATAGAGGATTCATTTATATTTTCATATGTTCTAATATAAGATCTTTAAATCACTACTGGAACACTATTATGATGCATGGATATGATCGTATTCTAGAATTGGAATATGTGGGGTGAGTTTTATTCTATGATATATATTAATTCTGATACATGTTTTCTAAACTAGCATTTGAAAAATGCCCCCGCAAACTGATCGTTCAATGAATATATATACATGCATTCTATATATTACATCTTGATTTTTGATAAATTCTAATAAACCAACTTCTAGAAGAATATATGAATTGCTTGCATATTTCGATTGTGATCAAAGGATTTTGCCTACTATTCCACAAAATTAGATAAAAGCTCCTGAGAGCACATTTTGCAATGACAAACTATAATATTTTAAATGCTCTATAACTAAAAAAGGCACATGTAATTAAATTCTTTCACAAAATTAGATGAAATTTTTCGTAGAGCATCAATCACTAATTCTCTCAATAAGACTATATGCGTGCTTTAGAAGAGCAAGAGCAATTTAGTAGAATGAATAAATAAATACTCCTAAAGAGTATACATGCTCCGTCAGATCAATACCAGAATTTTGATTTGACAGTTGTGGTGAGTATATGACTCTATATCAGAATGATAGAAGTTGAACATTGAGTGCCTATAAGAGTAACAATGAAGGGGTCCAGTAGAATCGCTTATTGCATGTGTTCAATTAAAGTAATTAACTCATATATAATTGAGGAAGTGTTGAAACACAAAAGCACCAATTATATGCATAAGACCGAACAAGTCATTCTAAATATTCTCCCAAATATTGTTTATCGGTCAGAAAATATCTATATCCATCTTCAAGATATGTAAATGTGCAGTTTATATATGATAATTGTTCCACCACAATGCACACAAAGATAGATCCTCAAGAAGAGGCCAAAAATATATGATGGATTTTGAAACTCCAGTTTTTCATATTATTAGTGATGGGTTTCACTAATTGATAGATTGATCGTATTAGTTTGACGAGTTAGTTACTCCGAAATGGAGATTTATTAACTGCTCGATTGGTTAATCATCATTTACGAGTTAGTTATCCCAGCATCAGGAGGGGAAGTGAAAACAGCCGATTCATAAATAAAATGGACAAGATCATTATCTCATCAGATCCTCCATGATATGAACCTGAAGTTCAAGAGATAATGTTTAAGACCAGATGTTTACCTGACCGAATGTGTAAATATATCTTATATAAAAGGTTGTTAAAACTTCGAATTTGATAATGTGTCCCTGAAGGAGTATCTACCATTATTCTTTAGTTGATTGTCTATTTGATGAGTGGTAGAACCATCGATTCTAATGATAAAAATTCTCGTAAAATGACAAGGTTTAAATCTATAGAGATGACAAATACGAGTGATTATAATTCGTGAAAGTTTAAATTTGAATAGTTTCTCACCATGATGAATCAACTTCCAGAAGTGTAAAAGCACTTGGGAACTTTATGATTGTTGAGATCTCATTATTAAAGAAAAATGGAATCGATCACCAACAAAATGTTGACATGAAATTTGCTTATATTGCAGCAATTAGTAAAAATGAATGAAAATGAAGATCATGAAATAGAAGTCTGTTGTAGATATAGACATTAAAATTATTGGCCATAATACAAGAAAAGACGCAATACACATTTAATGATGTGTATTGTACATACACTTTGAATTGCTTGAAGCAATAAGGTTTTGAAAAGTAATATACTGACTAAATGTTGTTGGGTGATTGTGCAAACGATTAATGAGTAACTTACTTATTGTACAAGTTTTTCCAAAGTCTGGATGTTAATAATCAAGAGATAAATTCTCTTGTGGTGGATGAAAATATTTATTTTTCTATTATTTGCTAAATCTGACGGCAAATGAAGAAATACAATACGTCTAGTGAATATGGTGATCACTTGAAACAATACTTGATCTTTGCCATTTGCAAATGACATTTATATGAAATCCCTGAAGGATTCAATAAGGGACATGGTTCCAATTCTCGAGAAATTAATATGAAAGACTTGTGCAAGTTATAGTGTCTTTATGTGTCTAGACAAATATTTACTTGCATATTTTTTGAACATTTTGTCATTACCGTTTATGTACTTGATTTTATATGTTTTATCCGTATATGCTACATTTGTCTGTAAGGTGATTTTTTTGTTTTCAATGTGTTTTCTGATCATGTTATTTTGAAATATTGATATGAATTTCATCAATTATATGTGTCTTCGCTATTTGGTTTGCACTGAAATTTTAGAGAGTTTGAAAAGGCTAAATATTAATGAAACTCATTATAGAGTTTGAATAGCCTGAATATCATTAAAACTCCTGAAGGGTTTATCACGGTTATTAAGACTGCAAACATGAAGTTCAAAAGATATTTAAGTTGAAATGATCGTTACTTGCCTGAGGCAAGAATGATGAAAGACATTGGG